TCATGTTTGGACTCTTTTATATACCCAGCATCCCTGTCTCTTATACACATCTAGATGTGTATAAGAGACAGGTATATATGTATATATATATTTGATTCTTCTGCTGTATCCTTCTTTTAAAAAATCATTAAAATATATGATTCCAATTGAAAACACCTAACCTCAAATTTTCAAATAAAAATTATAAGTGTTTTAAATTATTAGTTCAAATAAATCATAGGTGTTTTCCATTTTTAATGCATATACTAGCTTAGTAATATATACAGTTTATAATATTTATATCTTAAGCGTATGCATATTTATCTAGTAACTCCCAGTGTGTCCCGTGTTGTAGCAAAGACTGAAAGATTTCGTCAAAAATTTGCAAATTTACAATATTTTCGATAGCAGTGAAACGTACATTTCTATCTATGGGATAAAAACAAAACAAAAACAAATGAAAATTAAGCAAATATCTAAGAAATTACTAAAGTCTCACTTACATTTATATATTTTTCCATAATTCTGTATTATGCTTCATAAATTGCCACACATGAAATCGTAAAAATAAAATTACCTCACAACAACAACAACAAATAACAACAACATCAACAATACAATGTGTCACAAAAGCGGTAGCATATTCGTGGAAGCGCCTCGCTCGAATCGCCGTCGAAGCTTTTATAATTTCTTTTTGCGCCATCAGGATGCTGTCGATGATAGCTTAACATCACCATCAGTGCATAGAAAAAGTAATTATCCAAAAATTGTAAAATCAACAACAAAATTAACACACACACTCACATATACACATGCAAGCACATAAGCGCACAACTAAAAGTGAAAAACAATTCAAAATCACCATAAACCACACAAGAACACGCCGCTTGTATTGAAATGAAACGTAAGACACACACCATCTGATTAAATTTGACCCAGACTGGCCAAAAATTACATTTTCAATTATTTTAACACAAATATTTATTATAAGATAGCCTTTGGACTCGTAGCGCGTACCTCGTAGTCGATTTTTCAATTTCAAAACA